ATGACGGAGCAGCGCAAGCACAAGCAGCGGATTGGGCTCCTGCACAACCCCCCACACCTCAACGTCCCGGCAGCACCACAGCAGCCCGCGGCTTGAGCACTCGCGCGCACACGCACACACGCACGTGGTACGCACACACACACACACGCACACACTACAAAGACGAAGATCCCCACTCGCCCGTCCATTATAGCCTTCAGCACACCGTCGGGACAAGTGCAGTTCGCCGAGCAAGCCAGGGAGGAACGACGCGCGGTACACGATGGGATGGGCGGAACAGCATCACGCCCGGCCGTCTTTGTCTCACCCAGTGGCAACACTGACGCACTACGGCACGAGCAACAGGATTCGTCGACGAGAGATTGTGGGAGAGGCGACCTCCACGGGGGTCGTGGTGTTGGTGGTGGTTCGACGCTTCACGTGGCTTCAAAGTGCACCGAGCATGGCACAAGCAGCGTGGTGACGTCGCCGCCACTTTATCGTTGGTATTGGTGGTGGCGGTTGTGGCAGTGGCAGGTCGCGGGACGCCGTTTGCCAAGAATGGACGCGGCACGTGTTGCGGCACCTCCAAACGCACTCGCGAGGCCACGACTTCCACGGCGGGGAGGCATCGAATCCGACCGCTGAAAGTGTCCGCAGTGGTGCGTGGCGAGAGCACGAGAGAGGAAATGCGCTGAGCAACTTGGGGAACAACTTGGGGAACAACTCGGGGAACAACTTGGGGAACAACTTGGGGAACAACGCAGGGAACAACTTGGGGAACAACGCAGGGAACAACTTGGGGAACAACTTGGGGTACAACTTGGGGAACAACGCAGGGAACAACTCGGGGTACAACGGTCGGCACAAAGCGGGGAACCCGCGCTTGTCAAGGATGAATTATTATTTTTTTCAATCCTAAACAATTTTTCCATCCGTTTCACGGAGCGGAATTATTTTGCATGAGGTTTCTTTGCGTGGTCGTGCTGCGTCCTGATTGCGATTATTGTCGTCATTATTGTTGTTGTTGCTATTAATATTGTTGTCGTCGTTGTTAACAAAACTTGGGCGCGTAATTTAACCCTTGCTGCTGCTGCTGCGGAAGAGGAGGATAAGGAGGAAGAGTTCGGCTTTTTCTCTCTGTCTTGCGCATAACCGCCTCCTGTGTGTGGGGGGGGGGGGGGGTGGTGGCGGTGGCGTTTGAACGAATTCACCCTTCTCTGTGCGTGTGGGCGGCGGGGGTGGGTGGTCGGTGCGGACCGACGAACAAACAAAATTCTGGGCCATTTATGTTCCAGCTCTCCTCCTCCTTCAGCGCAGGTCCACTTGCCTTGCTTCCTGGCCGCGTGCTGCTGGTGTTGGGGCGGGTGGGGGGGGGGAGCGGGGGGTGGAATGTAAAAGACCTTCGCACCGACCGCGCCGGCTCGCGGCTCGCGGCGTCATCTGCTGCGGCCGCAACCGCGAACCGCCACGGCTGTCGTGACACTTCCACCCACCCCTCCACCCATCCACCCACCCACCCGCCCACCCATCCACCCACCCATCCACCCCTCCATCCGCCCACCCACCCCTCCACCCACCCATCCGCCCACCCATCCACCCACCCACCCCTCCATCCACCCATCCACCCACCCCTCCACCCACCCACCCCTCCACCCACCCATCCACCCACCCACCCATCCACCCACCCCTCCACCCATCCATCCACCCACCCACCCATCCACCCACCCCTCCACCCACCCACCCCTCCACCCACCCATCCACCCACCCACCCCTCCACCCCTCCACCCACCCATCCACCCACCCACCCCTTCACCCACACATCCACCCACCCTCCACCCATCCACCCCTTCACCTACCCCTCCACCCACCCATCCATCCACCCACCCCTCCCCCACCCACCCACGCACCCCTCCACCCACCCACCCACGCACCCCTCCACCCACCCATCCACCCCTCCACCCACCCCTCCACCCACCCACCCCTCCACCTACCCCTCCACCCACCCTACCATCCACCCACCCCTCCACCCACCCACCCACGCACCCCTCCACCCACCCATCCACCCCTCCACCCACCCCTCCACCCACCCACCCATCCACCCATCCACCCACCCACCCTCCACCCACCCCTCCACCCACCCACCCACGCACCCCTCCACCCACCCATCCACCCCTCCACCCACCCCTCCACCCACCCACCCATCCACCCACCCACCCATCCACCCACCCATCCACCCACCCCTCCGATTCCCTCAAAGGGATTCACCTTTTGCTCGACAGCAGCATCAGATACCCCCCTCCCCCCGTGTCTCGCTCGTAGCAGCTGCAGCAGCAGCAGCCCCGGCCACAAGCGAGCGAGATGTGATGCAGGTTTGCTGCGGTGTGCCCGGCTGGTCGCGTTAACCGCCCCGAGAGAGAGAAGTCGGGGGGGTGTTTTATCTTCCCCCGCCCCCCCCCCCCTTCACTTGATTTACAACGCGACCGAACGAGAGACGGTGTTACCCCCCCCCCCCCCCCCCCCACTTACGTGTGCGTGGCTGCGACACCCCGGTGGGTGATCCTGGGGCGGCGGGGGGGGGGGGGGTCCCTGAAGCAGACCGCCTCCGAGATCGGCTCGTCGCTCTGTCGTTTTTTTGGAGTCCCATCGATCGCCCCGCCAGCGAGCGGTGATGGAGGCGGCGGGGGGGGGGCGAGCAGGTCGAGGGAGGGGGGCTGCGAGCACACGGGCGACTCCGCACCTCACCTCCGACCTCTCGTCGACACCGCTGCTCGATAAAAACCTACGGCTTGAACCCCCCCCCTCCCTCCCGCGACGAACCCCCCACGGCGCCCGCGTGCAGATTCAGGCGCTTCGCTATTTTCTTCAACCGAAGCCCCTTCGCCTCCTCGGACCGGGATTTTGACGGTCATGGGCGACCTTAGAACGCGAACGCCAAAGGGGTCAAAGTTGTCATTGCGCGGCGACCCCCCCCCCCCCGGGCGACTCGGTTTGTACTGCGGCCGACGCCCGAGGTGGGTCTTCAGTAGTGGGGGGCAGGAGGGGGGGGTGAGACGGTTTAGCTGGGCACCCTTTTGACTTGGAACAAAATTGCGCGGAAAAACGGGAAGGCCGCGCGGTACGGCCGCGTCGCGTGTTGGCGTGGTCCCTCGACCGAACCGTCTTTTTTTGGGCGGGGGGGGGGGTGTTTAGCTGACGATGGTTCTCCAGGAAAGTTTCAAAACCTCAAGATCGTAAATGTGTACGATGGCAAAGGTTTACGCGGTGGTGGTTTTTTTCGTCTTTTGTTTTGTTACGATGCCTTTTCAGAAAGGTACCGCCCGAGTGTGGGTTGTTGTTTTTTTTTCGCGTGAGCGATTTAATTTGCGGGGCTTCGAGTTCGGGATGGATCCGGGCTCGTGACCCTTCGTGGCTGAGCGGTTCTTGGGTGCAACAAAAAAAGCCGCTTCGTTTAATGGAGACTCTGGGATGAAACACGTATAATTAGTGGCATCGTCATCATCATCACTAGACTGTGCAAAATTGATAAAAAAAATCAAAATTAAAGACACTTGGGAAGCCAATTTAAAATTGATCCGTTAAACATTTTGTCTGCGATGCAAATCAATGCCGTTCCGTTTTGGTTCCACTCCAGGCGTCTCCACTCCTTCCCCACCCCCCAGTTCGATCCGGGGTGTCAACAACAACAGCAGCAGCAGCAACACGATGAAGAAATGGACAAAATGCCCCGCCCGTAAAGCTTCTCTCGTTTATTCTTACTTTCGTTTTCATTTCCAACGGACACACATCTCCGTACCTTACCCGCCACGCACGTCTTATATATATTTAATATTTATATGCAGGGAGGGGAGGGCAGGGAGGGAAATCTGTACAGGGACTACCTCTACTTACGAACGAGTTCGGTTCCAGAGGTCTGTTCGTACGTTATTTGTTCGTGAGTCCAACTTTACTCCTGCCGATTCCAAACACGTTGTACGGCGTGTACACTGAACACGGGGAATGGCTTAGAATTTGTATCATCTCCTGTAGACGTAGATGCCACTGGTTCTTTACGATCTGCAGATGTATATTCCACTGTTCTTTACGATCTGCAGATGTAGATGCCACTGGTCTTCACGTTCTGCAGATGTAGATGCCACTGGTTCTTCACGTTCTGCAGATGTAGATGCCACTGGTTATTAATGTTCTGCAGATGTAGATGCCACTGGTTCTCACGTTCTGTAGATGTAGGCGCCACTGGTTCTTCATGTTCTACAGATGTAGATACCACTGGTTATTCATGTTCTGCAGATGGAGATGCCACTGGTTCTTCATGTTCTGTAGATGTAGATGCCATTGGTTCTTCACGTTTTGTAGATGTAGATGCCACTGGTTCTTCACGTTCTGCAGATGTAGATGCCACTGGTTCTTCATGTTCTGTAGATGTAGATGCCACTGGTTCTTCATGTTCTGTAGATGTAGATGCCACCGGTTCTTCACATACTGTAGATTCCACCGTCGCCATATATTGCGCGGCAGTTGAACTTACGACTTTCGGTCCGGACAGGCAACTGGACATATGGACAGGTTGTTCGTATCTCTGAAAGTTCCTAAGTCGCACGTTCGTAAGTAGGGGAGTGCTTATATTGTTCTTAGGTCGAGGCGTCCCTGTACCACATAGGACAAGAAAATATCAGCTCCCCCTTCCCTCCCCCGCTCTTGATTTTGTGATCGTCGGTGAATCTTGGACGCGTCACGAATTGTCACCAGCCCGCGTTAGGCGCAACAGAATAAACCGATTTAGTGTAAAACCGATTTGAACTTGAACATTAAAAAAAATTTAACTCTTTTTCTACTTGGATTGACCTTCCTTGCGTTGCGATTTCCCACCGAGTTTTTGGAGGGGCCTACCCAGGATGCCTCGGGGAGGTCAGGCCCTGGAGCGACACGGTGGAGATATT